TTGGCATTGTCACAGCCAGTCATTTTTGCATGCAAATAAATTTTAATGTGGAAGCATGCCCTATTATGCACTTCTGTTTGACTATCTGCATTAATGTCAGATATCTGCATTAATGCGTCCTTTATCATCTTCAATAGCGAAAGCCCAATCTCTCCCTTGCCTCCATAATAACATGTTTGTTGACCTCGTTAAAGGAAATTTTAATTGTCTCATCCCTGCCCGATATTAGCAATACAGCTGTCAAAACGGTTACTCATATTGGAATTCAAGCAATCAAATTGTTGCCTACCCCGTTTTCTCGTTTGAGCCACATACCGTGCACTCCCTCCGAAGAATCTCCTGTATACGCCATCACAGCGTAATTGATGCCATAAAAGTATTCATGATCCAGCCGCACATGTCTTTGGTTTGTGTGATAGAGTAATGTGCCGGACACCCTCAGCAGCTTCAACTGGATCTGGAGTTATGCTCCGCTTGGAAACCATTGAGAAGCTGGAAATCCTGCAGAACACCGTGTGTGTCCACTGCTAGACGTCGGAACAGTGGTTCGAATCAGGTGTGTAATAAGGAAAACGGATTTAACTCAGGCTCGTGTAGATGAATGTTTTGGCAATTGCATAATGTCAACGTCTGTATGAGGATGCCAGATGAAATGGCTTAAGTTGTTTCAGTTGTTGTTTGGGTATCATGAGAATGAGACAGAGACATTGGAGCTCTCTCTCTCTCCCTCTAGGGATATGCCTTTATTTCATGCCGCAAAATGTGTCGCAAACGATGTGAGCCAGAATTGAAGTTCTACAAAGGCAGTTTGTATCCTACTCCTATTAATATGGCATCCTGAGTCTTCCCACTCAGCAGCGCAAAACTATTATGTGTTTGAATGCTTATATCTATAAATTTGGATGCTAAAAAGCTCTAAAACTGTTAAAACTAAGTCTACATACGCCAGCCAAAACGATGTTTTGCAAGTGGCTGGTTCCTCAGGACCTGGCTAACGAAAGTTGCATCCTATTTTGCATGCGAGTTGGCAACACATTTGCTTCTAACTCTATAGTATGCTGAAATAAGACTGGATGTTCTTTGACGAATTCCTTATAATCTCTCCTTATTATTTGCCATTCTTAAATGCGGACGACAACGGTAATGCAGCAACATAATTTGCTGCCGAAAATTTTTGCTATAAAAATATGCATTATTTTTTGCTGGTTTTATGCGAAATATATTCCTGGTTTCCATATTATGTTTTGTTTGAGCTGCTATTTTATTACCGCGGTGTTAAGGGTCTTCATTGGCTATCCGTGTTAAGTGAAGTGTATGGGCATTTTGTCTTTTTCGATAACGTTAGAATAGGGTGTTCCGTGTTTATCATCACAGGAGCTACTGATGTCATCTCTGGGTGGTTCTGCTCACAATCAGTATGCTCACTCCAACGGCGAACCTAGCACGTCGGGGGATCACCGACATGAGAACGCAGCTGCAACTTGTCGCTGTTCCATAGATCCTAAGCTCATCATTCGTATCGGAGCTAAGCAGATAATAAGGTATATTTTCAACTAAACTGTCCATTATGGTTTCATTCTTTTTGTGTGCTGTTTTAATGATACAAGTGTCTGGTCTCATGATACCTGTGTGTGTACATATACTTATCTCATTATTACTTAGTGGTTCCTGTTGCCTTGCATTGCACAGTGCAATTTTATGTTTTAAGGTCTAATTTAGCATCTTCTTTCTAGCCTCGTCATACCGGTCTCAATATGCATGTTTCTTGTGGTCTTCATCAGCAAAACCGTGCCCTACTTTTCCACAACTGATGTGTACCTTATTTATACGCCCTTCCACACGCCGAATGCAGATATCGGCACGCAAACCTGGCAAACTCTTGCAAACGTGGCCATATTTTTGAGCATTGTAGTTGTGATGACTTTCCTTCTTGTGCTCTTATTCAAATTCAAGTGCTACAAGGTAAGCTTTATTTTTTGGTGTCAACTTTTGGACGCCTTTGACTTCGAGGCATGTTTTACGTGGGTTTTTGTTCCTAATTTCGAACGTCTTCTCAACTTTATCTTGGCATATATCGGTCGGTGTGATTTTTGCACAATGTCTTTATTATAAACTTGGCGTACTTTTATGCCATCTATTCAACGAATGAATAACTGCTTTTTCTCAGTGTCTCACAGGTTGGCTTATCGCGACTACATTCCTTCTTGTCTTCGTCATTTCATTCATATTTTTCGCGTGAGTTTCATCTCTGCTCTGCATCTTTTGGGACAAACAACTGATTCTTAGCGGATGTCATCCATTTCTAGTGATTTTATCGTCCATTTCATTTATTCAGTTCAAGCATTAGGAAATTTTCCTTTTTATAATACCTTTTTATGTTTTTGATTAACTTACAACCACACATCTCTTTGCTTGTTAATTCTGTATAGTTGAGGCTTTATGGTGCTCTTTTATTTTGGACATTCTGGGCTGGTGTTTGAAAGCAGGATGTAATACTCTTCCTTTCTGATGTATTACACTTCTTCCCCTGAGTAGGTTTTTGTTCACACGAATGCTGCTCAGCGAATTGAGAATAAGTTACCTTTTTCAGAGAAATACTGCGAACTTCTATGGTATTCTTCGACAACATCACGTTTGCCATTCTTCTGTGGAATTTCGGAGTACTAGGCCTGATGTCCATCCACTGGCGTAGTCCTCTTATCTTGCAGCAGGCCTATCTCATCTTCAACAGTGTTCAAATGGCCCTCATTTTCCTAAAATTTTTACCTAAGTGGACCTGCTGGGCTCTCCTCGGAGCACTAGCTATCTGGGGTGAGGTGCCCTTGTGTCCCGTTACCATGCTTAAGGTTTTTTTGTCTAGCCCTAACACTCTTATATGGCCAAATTGTTCTATTCACCTCTGAGCACTCGTTAAAGCATGCTGAAATCTGGAGATTCTGGAGATTTGGAATTTTTTTTCCAAATCTAGTTTATAATTAAGTAATTATTATTGTTCACCACATATGTAACCGGCGTTAAAGGCAATCCCTGCTGTACCCTACTGCGCGTTGTAGTTATCATATTTTCTGACAATATGGTTGCAAAACTTGAGTGCCTCTACGGGATTGGAATTTGCTCGTAAACATCTTTTTTCAAAATATACGCCACTCATTTTCAGCGCTCTATCGTTACCTTACCTCCATATTTTACAAAATTCATATGGACTCTTCTAAGGTATCGGGGAGACTTAACACCACTACCTATAATGTTCTCGCAACTGCAGTTGGCGTAGCTCATGTTATCATAACAAATCATTTGTCCTATGTTTTTTTCCAATGACGTCTCCTCGATAAAGCCGTACCATGTTTGGGTTTATTTGTACGAGTGCAGCCATTGAATATCATTCTCACTGTTATTCACTTCTAACTTTCAATTTTCGCTTTCCTCTATAGTGTACCTGTCCATCTTTCACATGGCGAGTTAACTCAGTCGGTTTGTTTATAGACTTGATAGCAGTCCTTTGTCCACGGGGTCCTCTTCGTATGCTGGTGGAGATGGCGCAGGAACGCAATCAACCACTCTTCCCCGCTATGATCTACTCTACAACCACGGCCTATATTGTCACGATGCAGCCGGTGGCGTTGAAAAGGAATGATGAATCTCATTTGGCGCACGCGGATCCCTCCGTTAAGCCACAAGAAAATTATGCCAGCGTCGGACATCCTCCTTCTCACCTGTCTACCTCCCCCGCGCCTCTCCCTGAATTTGGTACGTCTCTCTACCTGTCTAAGTTGTTTTAAATCCTGTTTTCTAGTCAATAAGTTTTACTAGTCATGCAGGCGAAATAGAGTATTTTAATGTGTCCGACTTTTGCCAACGTGGGCTTTATTTTTTAGGAATCATAAGGCATAATTTTGACTTACGGGCTGCATGGTCACGCGGTTAATTGGGCTATGACTTCGGTTTGTTATTACCGCATGATTACGAGCCTACTTGTCGCGACCTGCTTATCCTGAAATTCGTTTCAGATCTGTTTTTTGTACGGTTACGCTTGAATAATTGGTCTCTAGGCTATTCTATCTTGATAGAATAAGCAAGTCTTTTCTTTACATTTTCATGTGATAATGCATCCGTTTCTTCGCCAGGCGAATTAAAATTGATTACTAATGTGATTTAGCTACCTAATGAACAAGAGCATTTCAAGAACAAAACATTCTCCTTGTCATACCATCATGTTGTCCTCCTTAGCCAACTTAACATTTCAACTTCGACATGTTTGGTAACTCAAGATTTGTAATTTGTGGAAGTAGTGGCATTCATTAAGTTGATGTCTACTCCCTATCCTTCCCTTCATTCTCATGCAGTTTACACTTAGAAACTAAATCCTACTTGTTCTGATTCTTAGGCAATGGATCAGGTAATTCATCTCAACCAAATGGAACGACTAACGTAAGTCCTTCCAGAGATGTTGCGACTGTTTTACTGAGAGTCCACGACCTAATGGCCTAATGGCATAGGAAAACGACGCAATTTTAGGTGCTTTGATGGTGTATGTTAAAAAAATTGCATTCAATGAGATGGTTCTTGAATGAATGTTTACCTCTGCTTGCTATGGTGATTCTTTCTCACTAAGGTTTCACTTAAGTCTGTTAATAGGGTCTGTAATGGATTCAACCGTAACTTAACTGGTACTTAGGCGGTAATGCTTTTTAACGATCAGGGTAATTTGTACCTATTTTTGTGTCAGGATTCAGCCTACATGGAGGGGCATCAGCCTACTCAGGTAGAAGTAAATGCAACTCACCAGGAGCAGTGCAATCTCACGCCTCCTTTGACAACCGATTCTACGGAGCAGAGCAGCCATAATGGCGAACAGTTAGAAAACGCTAACGATCGTTTGAGACACCTGCAGGTCAGATTTTTTAGCCTAACGCAATACGACTACCTTGAACGTCTCAAGACCATTGTTGGCACTTTTCTCTGGACAGGAAGATGTGATTGGACGTGAGGAACATGGAGTGAAGCTGGGTTTGGGGGACTTTATCTTCTACAGTCTTCTGATAGGACGCGCTTCCTTGGATGGTGACGTGTTGACTGTGGTGGCGTGCTATGTAGCCATCTTGGTAGGCATGTGCTTCACCATCGTGGCGCTGGGGGTAGCGCGAAAGGCTCTTCCTGCTCTCCCCATTTCAATTGCATGTGGCATTGTCTTCTACTTCTCCACTGCCGTTGTTATTACTCCATTCATCCGTGCCACTTCTGAAAAACGCCTCCTTTTTTAGGCTTGAATCTCATTTCTCTTCTCTGACTAGGATTTTATCAATTTAACCATAAAGAAAATGAATGCGAGAGGCGTTGGACCTTGCGATTTCTTGATTGAGGGGGCTGTTGGAGTGGTTCAACTCCATCCTTGTTTTCGCCTATGCTTATGCTTCGTCGATTTCCAAATAGCCAGATCACCGTTGAGACAGCAGTACTTGTGCTGGTTTATTTGTGTGTACTTGCGAGATTCATTTTTGTTGATAGTCAGGTGGAGATTCTGAGTTCTTCAACTGCAGGCATAACGGCAATACCGTTTGCTCGATTGCGTGTCCTAGCAAGGGCCATTCTGGCGGTTATCCTGCTTCAGGCCAGTCTCCTTTCTTGTATGAATATGTTCACTCACCCTTATAGTGCCTAATAAGGGTAAAACTTTGTGACTACTTGGTTTTCGGCTTTTGCTTTGTTATTTGTCGGACCATTGTATGTGTGGACTGACCCGGCCAAGCCCAGGCTTAGTTCCTCCTTCTCCACCTAGAATGCATGCATTCAGCCCAGATTAATGCCTTATTCTGCCTGGTTAAAAGTCTCGGGGCACCACAACAGTGGCAGCAGAAACCGAATCCGGCTTTTTCTAACGACTTCTATCCTAGTGTCCACCGTTGTGGCGCATACCTACGATGCGAAGGAGGTACATGTACACGGGGAAGGAGATTCGCGGGTCCCTTCACAACAGAGGGGTTGAAAGTGATGTTTGCGTTTGCGTCTGCCTTGTTTCCATGTTTCACAAACAAGCGACACTACCGTGAGTCATCTGCAAGTTTTGCATCGGAATTCCTTCTAATACTTTCGCATATAGATGTTGCAAATGACAATATAAGTCTCCTTACATGCAGGACTGTGTTTGACTCCGTCCTCTCTATTAAACATCTCCTTTAGACCAAAGCCTCACCGTCTAACTCGGGAAGCAATTGCTGCTCAACGGATTTTGTGCGGTCCTGATTTCCGATCTTAGATCGAACGTAACTGGGTCCAGTTGAAGCTGCTAAGGCGACCTTGGTATCATGGTAATTGATGATTGACGCGGTTGGCTCGTGGGTGCATTTTTGCGTCATCAATTATATTGTGATGGCTGGTGCGGGAGGTGTACTAAGGTGAGCCTCGGGGGCGTCGTTCAAAAGGAGAGGGGGACAGTGTGACACTTTGTTTACGTGACCACCTGGGTTCTGGCGATAACTTGGGTATTTTTCTGACTTTTGTGTAATGCTTTCTTTATGTGACGGCTTGGCAATTGGCGCGGACTGGCCTTTGGGCCAAGCTCAGGCCTATTTACTTTGTTTTCTTTGGAATACCCATATCCAGCTCCAAATACTGCCTTGTTCCACCCTAAGGGAAGTCTCGGGACGCTACACTGGTGGCAGTGGAAAGCGAACCCAACATTTATCCAGTGACTT